AAGTGATTAAAGATGTAGAAGACATAGAAAATGTTTCTTGCAGTTCTGTTTCAAGAGACTTAAAAAGCTCAGTGAAGAGTTAATTCTTGCTTTTGTTCTTACTAATGTAGAAAGAACTGCACAAAACTAAAACAGCTTTTTAAACTTTGCTCAGGTTGGACGAAGTCGTCTTAGGATGCAAATGCAGTAGAATCGATAAAGGTACTAAGCTTATTCATATTCCTGCACCTTGGGTTTAAAAAGCTAGAATAAAACAAAGGACTATTGCAATGTGTTGCAACAATAAATTCACTAATGATGTTTTTGTTTTTATCTCCCACAGTAAACCTCCAGAATGACGTCTTACTGTCCTCCAGTAGATGTGCCTTTCTCCAACACTTTCCTTCATCCTTTTATCCTTAAATACAAAGAGAGTCGCTCAGTTACGCTCCAAAGGCACGAGCTCACTCGACCCTGTTAGCAGTGGCCCAAACAACCCATTACTGTGAAATCCCACATGGATAATGGTTCCAGGTGACTCCAGTCATGTTAGAGATGTCTGGTTGGTATTTTAGCATTGTTAGAAACTTTTCAGTGAATCCTTGTCTGTTGACACTTTTTGACTGAACTGAAACTTTTAGTCAACACTTTATTCTTAATGTTACAGTTTACTGCTTTAAAAACACTCCTCTTAGATGTGCTGATACTCCGCACCGAGCCCAGCCGCCACAGTATTATCTTTCAGACTGAGCAGTTTTTAAGGGTCCCAGCGCTCTGTTACACTACCTGATCTCAAAGTTTTTCTGCCGTGAGTATGAATGTTTAAAACACTAACGTTTTATTAAGAAACACTTGTAATGTTCTGGTTCAGGAACCTACATACGGTACTTACCTTTCTACCTCAGTTAAAAAAATAAATAAAATAAAAAAACTCCAAAGACCTCTTTGCAGTAAACATCAATTTCTTAAATTTCTCAGTTTAGTTTCTATAATTGTAGGACGCTGGAGCTGTCTGTTGATACCTGCACGTCTCCTTATGATAGAAAATGTTTGAGGTGCAACCTTGAATATCCTGAATAAAATTTATCCTCGCTGAAAATAACAAAATAAAACTTGTTTAAATTTGCCCTATCTTCATTGCCAAAGTAAGTTGTCCTCAGTAAATTAAATAAAAGTTGGCTATGAAATGTGGGGGAAGTTGGCAATAGAATAATGTTCACTTTGACAAACATGAAAGAAAGGTGATTTTCAAAAATTGTCCCGGATCACTTGTCACAAACACGATAAATTCATCTACTGCTAATTTGAGTGTCAAACAGTCGCAGCCCTGAGTTACTGAACTTTAATCACGTCGTTAATTCATTCAGTCATCCTACACATGTTTTTTTTTTTGGGGGGGGGGGGGGGGGGGGGTCTGGGTTTTGGGTTCTGTTTATTGCATTTATGATTCAATGCAATAAAATAAACAAATTTAAAAGGTAACAGATCATTGTAAACTTTGGTTTATGATTTCAATCGCTGGATGTCCAGCCCCCGAGCTGTTGGCTTTCAGAAACTGCGGCCCCCTGAGTTGTTCTGTTGAATAGCCCCGTCCTACACCCGTCTCTAAAATGTACTTTAAGCCCTGATTGAGTGAAATTGATGAGATATTTTTCTCCCTCAGCCCTGAATCAACAAGCCGTGCGACCGCTTGAGTTTTATCCTCGACATCTTTTAGAAAGAACAAGTTCTGCCCTCGTATTACTGATGTTTGACCAGGAATGACAGATTCTTTCTGCTTTGTCTTTAATTTTTATTCATCTATCGACAGCATTGCCCGTCTTTACAGCGCGTGTGTGTGTCTTACCTCAGCTTTATAACCTGAGCCTCACACTCCCTGTTCTTTGAGTTGAGAAAGCTCCTCGGATCAGGAGCGAAACGTCTTCTGTTACAAATAAAGTCCAGTTGTTTTTGTCTTGAACTGTTTTGAATTTATCGTGTCCTGGATGACTGAGAATCTTCACCAGCGTATAAAAAAATGCAAAATTAAAAAATAGTAAAAATAAAAATTTCCCACTAGAGCAATCTGTATCTGTCATTTCCAGATAAACACACTTGAGAGAGAGGTTAGATTTCTTGTTTTGTTCTTAATGTAACTGGGACCCTGCGTACATAATCTAAATAAAAAGTTAAAACATTCTAAAAGTTCATGTTTCTTTACATATTTTGTAGCATTATTTGTGGGTTTGTGAGGGGGGCCTTGGCCCAAAGCTGTTTGGGAACCCCTGTTTTAGTGAACACAAATAAAAATGTGAATATACAAACTACTTGTTCAGCTACATGCTTCTCTCTGCGTCCACTTCCACAGTGTGCAGGAAGATCTACCTATATGACATCATCAACAGATATTTAGCTTAAAGGGATAGTCTGATTTGTCAAATAGTTACCAACATTTAGAGCATTAAGAGCTGTGACATCATTCATGGAGCACGGAGGGTGAAGAAAAGAGCAAAAGTCTTCCTCCAGGTTAGACTACAGGTTAGCCAAATAAGAGTGATTCTTTTTTTTTAATGATTGTTTATGGAGTTTTTCAGGCTCAAATGCATTTTAAAAATGTATAGTTTGAGGCTTTCAGAAAAGTGAGCTGTTGGGAGGATGTGCAGGCGAACACCTCACATCCTGACTGCTTCTCTACCGTAACAAACATTTAGGTTTCAGCTCTGAACAAGACGACGAGCAGGAGCTGATGTGTGAGCAGATGGTGACAAATGACACCGTGAAAAGGTTTAATATCATTTAATATGGTGCTGTTTCACATCTGTGTGTTTTATAATCCTGAAAAAATGGGCTGGCTATTAGCCAAGCCTGCATGAAGACTTTTGCCTCTCCATTCTCTGCTCTGACTGATGTCACAGCTGAGAAGGAAACTATTGATAATGATTAGAACACGGTTTAAAAAAGAACCATTCCTTTAATCAGTGGATTAAATGAGGAGCAAGCTAAAGCAGCAGATGTTGCTTCGTGTGTGGTTCTCCTGCAGCGGTCAGAGACGAGTCACACAGGAGGTCTGATGGGTGTCATCCTGGAGGAGCGCCTCCTGGCTCAAGGCTCTTCACTCACTCCTCTGCAGCTGTTTTCTGGGCTTACCTCTGATCACTGACGGTATAAACTACAGATGTTCATAACGGGGGGTGGGGGTGCTCTTAGGTTTGTTTCTGTATTAGAAGCCAGTGATTTAGCAGAAGAGCTGTACTGTGACACATTTTGTTGTATTGCAACATTAAAGGGATTAAAATCTGAATTTTGTTGCACTGTATTTTTAAATTACCCTCTGCTAAATGCGAAAGGGTAACAATGTTTTTGCCCGTGTCTCTGTGTGTGGAATTGTTAGCTAAATATCTCGTGTAAGTTGGGGGGGTGGTTATAATAAAACTCAAAGTAATCTTTGGATGTGCATGCACAAACTGATTAACCTCTGGAGTCAACCCAATTCAAGATGGCCGCCACAGCTAAGTGGCTTTAGCAAACACAAAAATGTTTCAAACTCAGTTTTACAGATGTTGAGATCAAAACGTGTGTGAGGTATTCCCAACATGTACCTCAAGTATCATCTGAGGATGTTTTCACATCTGTGCTCTTAATGATGCTGTCTGTTAGTAAAATGTTTCATGAGCCCCCCCTGAAATCAGTCAAACCAACGGGAGTTGGCCGTTCAGAGCCGTGGAGCATCCGATTCTGCAGCCTGCATGCATGTACAACTGCTTTTTTGTACTGTTTTTTTTTTAAACATCTCTTTATTGATTTTAACAAGAGCACATGAACATGCCCATTCATATACAAATACATAAATATAACCCAGACAAAAAATATATTATAATAATTAAATAAAATAAAAAAGACACCCGGGAAAAAAAAAAAAACACTAAATGTTTTTGTGTGCGTGTTTGTGTAACATTCAAACAAAAACAATTTTATCAGACGAGATGCGGTAGAACTCTGCAGCAGGTCCAGCCGGGACAGACGTATCTCTTCCGGGGTAAGTTGAAGACACGGTAAATTTTTTACAGAGGCTCTTAAATGTAAGAAGCACAGCTTCACCGCGTGAGCTAATACTACATAAAAAGTATAGAGATAAATAAAAAGCAGAAAGAAATGCATAAACTCATGGTACGATAAATACATGACAAAAAGTCCTACAATGTTCATCAGGACAAATTCCTTTTTTTTTTTCTGAGACGTTTGTGGACTCTGACTGATGAAGTCCTTTGGACGAAGGACGAAACGTCTCAGCACAAAAAAAAAAAAAAACAAGAAACCATCCAGATGACCTGACTGAACATTGTTGGATTATACCTGAATTAATGAGCATGAACTTTGATGAACAAAAAACAAAAACATTTATAATGGCATCTCCCTATGGTTAAATTGTATTCCCTTAGGAAACACTAAAGTGTAGTAAAGTTACTGTGAGGTTTCTGCAGCATTTGAAAAAAATTCTTATAAAATAAATTGGGGGAATTTTTAGGTTTTGTCAGAAAAAAAACTATTGACAGCATTAGGAAGACGATGTGTAAACTTTTGAAATCAACCAAACAAATACCACATTGCTTCAATTCTGTCAGTTTCACAGGTATCTTGTTAAGATTTGATTTGGTAGTAGCTGAGAGTCATTCCTAACACATACTCTGAATTAATTCCTCGTGATATTACAATACTGAGCATATGGTTCGAGCTACAACTCCATCTCCACCATGAGGTGGAATAAAAAGGGTCGCAGTCGTTTCAAGAACGGCTAGCTCTTTGATTTGATCTAAAGTTTTACTGTTTTAGTAAACAAAATATTTTATTGCCTTTGGTTTGCTTCATCGTAGAGCAGTTTGGTGTCATTGTGACCAAAAACCAAACCAGTTTCTCTGGACGGCAAGAATTTTTGAAGATCTGATGATTCAAGTTCTAGAATTTAAGAAAACTAT